AGAAAGGAGAGGGAAGAAAGGGAGAGAAGAGAGGGGTCCCAGGTCTCTACATGAATACATGAAAACACATGCTTCTCTCCTCCTTCTGTAATCCACCAGGGACTCACGCCCCATTTGGTTCCCATTAGCATAGCTCTGGTCGCCCTGCCCCGTGTCAAAGCCCAGACGCACAGCTGCACAAAGGACAGGGACCTCTGGCTCTGAGACTGAAAGCCGCTGGGCTCAAAACCAGAACTGCCATGGAGGACGGGCCTTACACTGTGGGGATTTCAGAGCAAAGCCTCCCGTCTTTCCTGTAAACTAGTTTCCCCATGTGCAGTATCACAAATTGACACTGATGCCAATACACAAATGATTAATCGCTGTTTATCTTGTAGCACTTTGTAAGGCAGGAAAGCTCTGTTTCAAGTACAATCCAATGTACAACATCAGAAATTAGCTTTGGCATGAGGTATTTGCTCCCCTGTATTTTGTAGAGTGCTGTGTCTGACTACAAAGACTTTCTTTATTCAGCGTGTTTTATTTGTCACCTGTTTCCAATATGGACATTGTGAAGTCCTGATCTATCCGACGGAGCCAGGGCCTCGTTTTATGACACGCAAAGCTGCCGTGCCTCTTTTCCTACACACGTTGGCTGCACATTTCTGGCAGGAAATTGACAGCATTTCAGCAGCTAACTCATGGATGAGATAATATCTTGTGGGTGGAAGAGAGGACAAGATGCTCCCAGTGTTTTACAGTGACCCTAAGCAGAGACAAATCTAAATCTGAAGCTGCTGCTGCAAAGCCGAAGCACACACATGCGCACGTACACACAGGGTTTTCATTTAAATCTCGGCTTTGCTTAACTCACCAAACAAGAAATGTGGTCTGTGGCTGTGTGTTGAACATGGTAAAGGTTTCAATTAAAGTAGGAGGAACAATACCCGACCAGCATCCAGCAGCTGTCTGTGTTGGCTTTCCATTGTACGCTGTCAAGGGAGGAAACGGAGAGGATGACATGTACTAGTGGTGTTTTAGTGGTGTTTTCCGTGGCATATGTCAACCTTAAAATATGATAGGGTAGTAAAACAGTTGCACAGGATTTTAGTTTGATTTAATCATCAGTAATATGGTTCCATATGCCTTTGCAATGGCCAAAGCTCTGTCTTTGTTGACCTCTACATGTGCTGCTTGGTTTAGGAATGGATTCATTTGCATATTCCGGCAAAGATTCAATGTTTCCCGTCTTTCCCAGCCTGTTTAAAATCCTCTTTGGATCAGACTACAAGAGTCCAGGCTGAATCCATCTTGTTCTGAAGCCCCTCTTTCCTGCAGTTCTTCAGTCCATCTGTCCCACTAACAGTCTTTTAATTGAGAGTCCTCCTCAGTCTGATGCTGGCCATTGCTGCCTGTCAGTGTTTATACAATTGGGCTGGGACAGGGACTGCGAGCCAAGCAAAACATCCATGAAACATCAAGCCTCCAGCTAAACAAAACCCAGCAGTGAGACACACACTCTTGAGCCAGATAAGGGCCGAAAACGATGCTCTCTCTACGCGGCGAGGTTAAGTTGTTGACCGTGGCGGTAACACGGCAGCTGTGTGAGAGTGTCGACTGTTGTCTGAGTCTAATTGCTACAGCATTGTGGGCTTTCAATAGCAGCTTTCAATTCCTAGCTGCTCAAAGATCTACAAAGTCCCTCACACACACCCCTATGTCCTTTTCCTCACTGTTGTCCTCTTTCGTTGCGTGCCAAAGAGGAAACCCTGGCGAGACGTTAGCACAGTGACTAATACTGTGTATCTGGCCGGGCCTCAGATAACAGCCTCCTCCCCCGCCTGCTGTGACAAATATGTGCGAGTGTAGCATTGGGATCCGGGCCCAAGCTTGTCCCTGACCCAACCCAGGCCAGACACAGGTTAAACCACGGCCAAATGCAGCACAGATCCACGCTGGCCACAGAAGCAGAGCTCTTCGGTACGTGAGCAACATGTGAAGAAGTTATTATATTCTTGTTTCCTCTGACAAGCCACACGCACACTCACATCCTCCATGATGTTGCTTTTGATGGCCATCCTTGACACATCCGTCAGTTGCCTCTTTGAAAAATCTCTGTAATCAGTCTGTAATCTTTCATCCTATTGCGTAGGATCAATGTTGATGCCGTCATATCACAAACACCTCTTGAGTTACTCTTCTGACACAATGAATCCCGAGAAATAACAGGCACAGTAAATCGTCTCCCTTTCTTTTTTTCCCGTCAGTACCTCTTCAGTTGAGTGGGGGGGGGGCTTGCTGCTTTAATGCTTCTTAATGCTGCTGTCTGCTTAATGGGCCAGATATGAGAGGTGCTGCTAGCCAGCGTAATAAGTCAGTGATTAGAGGGCGCCTTGTCACAGCAGCAGCCCCGCAGACAGTGGCACGCTCTAATTGCCGTATTAGACGCCCCTTAACTATCTTGTCAGCTGTCAGGCCCCAGCTCGTAAACAGCAGAGGTGCATTTTATATTTCCAATTGTTTATTTCTGTCTGCTGCTCTTAGCCTTGCCGCACTGGGAGGTAATTAGTAAAGGGTTGTTTTGTGTGACAACACTGTGCTAAATCTGGGTACTGAAAATAGAGTCCGCTCTAACAAATCTTTACGTAACGAGAGTTATATGAAAAGGGAAAAGCTCCTGTGGCAAAACATCTGACAAGGAATCGTACTCAAAATTTGAAAAGTGGCCAGTGTGAATACAATTATTGAGATTACCAATTTATGTGATCATTATTTGCGAGCTTCTTCTCTCTAAAAGGATTAAAAAGTCAACTGACAGTCATTTGCAATTTCCCAGACTAAAAAGTGACGTTTTTATCATCCAAAATATTGTCAGTCCAATGGTGAATAACAGAATACTGCATGTGAAAGTGAAGAACAGCATTATAAATCAGCTTTCTGAGTCTATCCTGAATCTCAAAGGTCCCAGGTTTGACCCCATCAACAGTCAATGAATGTACTTTGACAGCCATGTCCGCTGCATATGTGTCCTTGAGGGGAACGCTGCACTCTCTCATTGCACAGTGCTCGGGATAAGAACGTCAGCTCAGTCAGTACATTATGTATGTACACTCCGACTGACACACGGCGTGTAATCCTCACACACGGTGAGGATTGCCGTGCCCGCACCTGGAGAGCTTAAAAATGGTGCAAAGTCAAATAATCTCCGTCTCCTGTCTTTCCAGTGTCAAACAGCGAGGTGACATGGTTAGAAGTGGTGTAATTTTGCGTTTAATCTGGGATAAACCCGTGTTCACTTTGACACCTCCAGTTACTAATCTGGTTTACGACACTTTAGGGCGAGCAAGGGGGGGATTGTAGTAGATTTTGTGGTCCCTTAGTAGATTAAGAGCGAGCTTAGTTTTATATCCTGAATTACAGGATATTGGTCTAATCCACAGACTAGGTAATGCTATTTCCTGCTGTTACACACAGAAGGAGCACTCAAGTCAATACTGGTGAACCTCAGTAGAGAGCTCACATTTTTCTGTCATCAGTGATCATGCGTTGACCTCAGCTGTGTGACGTAAAGCTGATCTTTTCTATCTCAAAGTGCTGATCTGACATTTTGAAATGGAGCCCATACATGGACTCCAACCTGTGACCCTGTATGTATGTGCATGTCTGTGTCACATTATTGTCTTATAGGAATTACAGCGAAACAATAGGAGATAGCATATTTAGTGCGGCTTGTAAATCCATAAAGTGCCATGCTTTGATAAGTAGTGCTTTGGTGTGAGGAGGACAATGGTGTTTCTTTCTCACCGTCTCTGACAGACCCTCATGTATCTCTGCAAATAACACCTGACAAGTTTCCTTAGTACTAGATCATTAGGCTTTTCCTGTCAAAATAAATAAGCAGCTACGCACAGCAGTCACCTTGTACACTAAACCCAATTTCCTCCCGCATTCCTGAAATATTTTATTTTCTTTCCAGCCTAAAGAATTACCACCCTCAGGCATTCGGCCCTGACTCAACACCATATGTGCCCAACTTAAAATAAATGATTCTTATCGTGTGGAATTGCTGTTTATTATACCATGCTATTCATTTTTTATTCTAACATCAGCAGCCAACTTACTTGCACTACATGTCAAAGCTTAAATAATACAATATTTGATTTAAAGAACAGATAAGGGTGTTTTCAGAGTGAAATGGTTTGACTTCTTTTACCTCCCATATGCAAGTTTGCTGCACCGAAAGCTGTAGATTCAGGCAGTTTAGGTTGTAGAAATGCACAAGTAATACACGTAAACTATCTTTATCCATCTTGATAATATAAAGTAATGTGTGGTAAACAGAAGTGCTGCCAATCAAGATTCATGTTTTGTTTATTCTGTCTTCTTGTTTCTCCATGTCATTGAGAAATGTACGACTTGCAGCTGCTGCACTCATTTGGGTGATAGAGCTGTTTTCATTTGTGAGGAATTGTGTGTATATCATACGTTTCCTCCCTTGCTGTAAGATCTAGGTTTAAAAAATGTGAAACATCCTACGGGATCCAATGACCTCCCTGCAAAATGTACCTGGATTTTTGTCGGTTTTGAACGGCCCTTCATGAAGGCTGAGGCAGACTGTACCGAGTTGCCCCCGTCAAAGTCTGGACACTTAACCTCTCACTACTAAAAGCTTTCCGGGGTCAGACTAAGTACAGCTTTAGTGTTGAGTAATGGAGCCTCAGTCAAAACAAGTTACATTTCTGTGTTTTTTAGGAAAGGAAGTCCTCGGTCGGTTCTCATGAACTCTGGGAAATTACAGTATGAGGAGGCGGACTCACACATTGGAAAGTTGTTTGGAAATGTGGTGGCTGGGTAATCTTTTAGTGGCAGTGGCTGCAACGTCACTTTTTACGGAAACGTTTGAACACGCTTGTATGGCTGCTATGATAACTGCTCTCTCTCAGTCCTTGCTTTATCACCTCTCCTCTGTACTCCAGCCAGTGATTGACGTGTTTGTCTTTTTTCTGATTCTGTCTCTGCAGGCCATTCGCTGCACACTAGTGAACTGCACATGTGAGTGTTTCCAGCCCGGAAAGATTCACCTACGCACATGTGACCAGTGCAAACATGGCTGGGTAGCTCACGGTGAGTGATTTCATTTTCATTTTTAGGTAGCTGGTGGGCGTATCTGAATATGTTGGAAATAAATATGAATTTAGTGACTGATGCTCGTATAACTATCTCCTGTTGCTGTGGTGAGAAGAGAGCTGCATATCAGTACTCTCCACTGTGTAGAGAAATGTACAACTGTCTAATTTCTTACTCAGTGCAGATGCTAGATTTTCTCCGACTAAAATCCAAATGTTTTTATACATTTTCCATAGAAAAAGACACTTTTCCTTTTTTGTTTGCTTCTGTATTTTGTGGTTGCTTTCAAAGTCTTGTTTTTGCACTTTTGATTCATATAGAAAAGGGGGAAAAAACACAGACCAAAAGACAGAGAAAGAAGCAAGAGACTACACCTCATGAGTTTTTCAGGCGGGTAGAGGAAAAATGGAGAGGAGGCGCAAAAGTACAAAGAGAATGAGGAGGGGGAAAAAAGAAAACACCTGTTTGGCTTGCGTCCGCACAAGAGCGAGCCATGGGCCCTTCAGCGATCGCACAGGACCCCATTGACTGTTTTTTAATCTCTCCCTCTGAACTGTCAGGCGCCCATCTCTCCTCTCCTCCACTTTTCATTTCATGTCGGCATTGGCAGGGACTCTGACAAGTAGTTCTTCATTTTTTATTATGTTTGTGTCTGGCTGCGCTGTGTTGTCAGGCAAAGCGCTCGTCAGCAGGAAAAAGCCGTCCCAGGATCAGAGAGAGACCCAACCAGGTGTCACCCAGACAGGCAGGGGAAAGGGGGGAGGGAGAGAGGGAGGTATGAGGTAAGGGGAGAGAGAAGGATTGAGACGGAGAGGAAGAAAGAGATTTGTCCAGGTGTCGCACAGACAGCCAGAGAAGAGAGAGATGACTGAGGTTGAGATACAAAGAACAATGACAAAACCTAACCTGTACTCACAATCATACGACTCCTCTGCCCGAGTTTCGCCCCTCAGGCAACACACAGGCTACTAAACCCTATTGCTGAAGTTTGGTGTCTGTGTGCAGCGGAACATGCACTGAATATACTGCTGAGAAAACTATATGGACATTTGAAATGTATCACACAGTATCAGTTTGCCTTTAAAGAAAGTTAACATGATTTTAAGAAGGGGTTGTACAATAATAAAGTTGTATCATTTAATTTAGTTATCCTTTCAATATTATGAAAAGCATGGCATCTAATTTAATACGTTATTTTCATCCGTGGACTTCACTGTCCACTTTAAAATCCATAGGACATACCTAATTAGGCTATACATATATAAGATAACATGAGTAATGCAAGAAAAATGGGAGATGTGAGGGCGGTTTGAAAGTGCAAGAGATTAGATTAAATAGAAAGAATGGGAGATAATTACATTAATGTCAATGCTTTTATCTGATTGATATGTTCTTACCAGCTAGTGCTGACCGCGCAGTAGCCTCCTAAGGAAGATTTGAGCTGCAATTTGATCATTAACCGGGCCTGTGTTTGTGTGTTTTTCTTTTCTTCCTCCCCTTCACACAGCTTTAGACAAGCTCAGCACCCAGCACCTGTACCACCCCACCCAGGTGGAGATCGTTCAGTGCAACGTGGTGTTCGACATCAGCAGCCTGATGCTGTACGGCACCCAGGCCGTACCCGTCAGGCTGAAGATCCTGCTGGACCGCCTGTTCTCCGTGCTGAAGCAGGAAGAGGTGCTGCACATCCTGCACGGCCTGGGCTGGACCCTCCGAGACTACGTCAGGGGCTACATCCTGCAGGTCAGTGCCCAACACACACGCTACAGAGCCTGTGAAGCATCATAAGGATTTATCTTAAATGTCAAGATGGCATATTAGCTGTACTTACTCTCTGCTATCAAACAACTGTGTCCCTAAATGTGCCTTTAGATTTCCCTGCAATGTTCTGTGATTTCAGAAAGTGGGGATACAGTTCACAGTGATCACTATCATTTCTTTTTCACCAAGTGTATCTACAAATCTGTCCATTGCAATTATTTTGAGAGTTATTGATCAGAAGCACAATGGTGACAATCTTGGCCACTTCAGTCCCATTGCACATCCATTTTCTTCACACTTTCCCTGTCGTTAGTTCTACTTCAGTCTGCCCCCTCTTCCTGCCCTGTGAACACTAGGCCCCTCCGCTGGAAAAAGGAAAGGGCTAAAAATAAAAATAAATGAGAAAAATGTCACGCCAGCAAACCACTGTGTTTCCTCTCTCCATCCATCCTCCCCCCCTCACATATAATTGCAGTCAGACACGTTTCTCAATCAAAGGTACGGAGGTTTTGGAGTTGAAACCCAAACCGAAGTGTTCCTGAATGAATTAGTTAAGAGCAAGTGAACATGTGCATGTGGTTAGTGTGTGTGTGTGTGTGTGTGTGTGTGTGTGTGTGTGTGTGTGTGTGTGTGTGTGTGTGTGTGTGTGTGTGTGTGTGTGTGTGTGTGTGTGTGTGTGTGTGTGTGTGTGTTGGGTGTGTGTGTGTGTGTGTGTGGGTGTGTGTGTGTGTGTGTGGTGTGTGTGGTTTGTGTGTGTGGTGTGTGTGTGTTTGTGTGTGTGTGTGTGTGTGTGGTGGTGTGTGTGTGTGTGTGTGTGTGTGTGTGTGTGTGTGTGGTGTGTGTGGTGTGTGTGTGTGTGTGGGTGTGTGTATGTGTACATGTGCTTATCTGTATGTGTATATGGCAGTGTAAGTGGAACAGCATGGTGAGGAGAGGCTAGTTCGTAGCGGCTTTTGTGATTCAGATTCTGATTCAGTGTTTTTATTTTTAAGTATTAAAGAACACTTATTTAATAAATATTCTAACAGTTATTTGAAACTACAGTTTTTTTGGAAATACTGTTTGCAGCTTACAGTTACAATTTAAGACTTAGAATCCATATTTTAAAGACTCATACAAAATATTTATTGAATATCTAAACAATCGAAAATAAAATATAAGTTATAATATTTAAAATAATACAGTTAATATTTGTCTTGCACATTTTAACTTCAACCTATATTCATATTTATGTGTTTTGTTCTAATATGGTGTTATATACTCTCACAAAACCTAGTTTCCCCCTGGGATTAATAAAGTGTTTTGATATAGTTCAATATATTCAATATTTAATATTGATAAATTCTTCATTTTGAAATAAATAGTTTGCTTTATTTCAAAAATATTTTTGCATAATTGAAACAAACATATTATTCCAAATATCAATAAATCAGTTTTGTATTTGTTTGCTTAACTGGTTTATTGGTTGGTCTATTCAATGTAGAGAAAATGCCCAAGAGTTTCTTATAACCCATCTTCAAATAAACAGTTTTAGTCTGATCAAAAACATACTCTTATAATATAATATTATGAAAGACAAGCTGCAAATTAACAGAATATATTTGGACATGTTTACATTATAATAACAATTGTTGCGGGGTGATAATCCTACTAACCTTTCCATCTCTAAAAAGCATTCTCAGCATTAAATATCAATATTACCCCTGAGGGAAAGTAACTAAAAGCTCAAAATCTGCAGTGTGAGAATGCCTTGTATTGAGTAACTGTGGTTCTCATAGTCGTAGAGTCTGTGTTTGTATCAGCTGGCTCTAATAGTCAGCTGGTGGGAGCACCGTTGCTCAACTGCTCAGCCTCATGTCACGCTACTGCTTAAATCCTCTAGATCTCCTCAGAAGGGCTTCAAAGGGGCCGCGGCCGGTGAGAGAGAGCGAGTCACTTAAGGACAGTAAGCAGTCATTGTACGGCCCTATTAGCCTGTAAGTAGCTATGAAATTCAATCATCTTCCTGAGCCTCCGGGCAACGCTTTGTGTCAGGGGTTTGTTCCCAACACCACGCCGTGCCAAATGAGAGATGAAATGAGAACAGCATTGCAGATGGAAGATAATAAGTTATCTTTTTGATAGCGGTGTAGCATTATTTGGGGATGAATTACGTTCCAGTGATAACAGTCAATTGCTCGCTTATACTGATTTAAAATTTGAATACGTGTTTAGGCCATATGAGATAATTACTATTTTAATGAGATATGCTTTAAATCTCGATAATTGTACAACAAAAACACCTACTTTTTATAAATTCTAATCTAGTCAAGCCTTCCTATAACACATTTCACAGGGTGTTTGACGGTTTTGGCTCTGATTTTTCTTCCCTCTATTAATATACCTCCTAATTTCACGCGATTAGTTTGTCACAATAACTTTAGGTTGAGAAAGAAAGAAATGTGTGTTTGATGCATTATGTTTTTCTGGGTGTCAGTGCGTATGGGTGTCAGTGATGCGCCAGAGAACTCAGGACATTGAGCTGACAGAGTATAGCTGCAGCTCCTCTGATGCCTGACCACCTGAACGTATGTGCTGCAGGAAGAAGGAAAACACACACTTAGATTTTCAACCAAATCACAAAGCAGAAAAAACACAGACGCTGTATGGCATCAGTATTCTGTCTTTAGACCAAAAATATTCCCTCTCTAATTTATTAAGCAAGCTAAATAGCTAACAGGTCAGAAAATCATGTATCATATACCCATAATGACACATTTGTATTGTTAGTGCTGTGACTTAGGAAAGGAAAATGCCAGTGTTTTGGCCTAAATACAACACTTATCCTATCCAATTACAAAACTAGTCACAAATCAAATTTTAAGACATTTTAGACATATGAGGAGGTGGGTTTCTGTCTGTAAGTGCTTCTGACTAAGGTTGGGGATATTCAGGATGACATGAGGGAACACTTAGCTGCTCTTCCTCAGCAAACACAGCTTCAATGATTGCATCACTTACGCGTACATGGACGTATGAAAAGTCTGGAACTGTCACTCAAGGTTTGATGATTTATCACAGAATCATCACTGTTTTCTCCTCCCCACCCTGATTATTCTCACGTTTACCTCCCACATTAGCCCCAATGTATTCAGGGCACTACCATTACCACTGTTATCTGGTATTCTGCTGGAAAAATGTAAAACAACAAAAGTAGAAATATGTCACCATAGCATTTTACTTTGACTTACGGGAGGAAGAATTAATTTATGTCGACATCCAAGATCCACTTTGCCCTCTTCCGTCCTCTCTGCCATTTACTGCATGACAGGAGTAAACTCACCGTGGAAGTGTGACTAAATGTGCGTACACTTTGCAATTGTTCTATATAATAGGCTCCTTAAACTTCAGCAGTGAATCAATATTATTAAAAGCGAGATGGCTCATCAAGTGGTTAGAATTTAGATTTGTAAAGAAGAGGAATTATACATGACATCAATAACCATTAAAATGAATGATTGTCTTTGCTTTGAAGCCTGACCTTCAGTCTTATAGCTTTAACACTCTTGTTCACCAGCACATCCACACAGTCAGCTGCTATAGTATTACTATATACAAATCTTGTAATAAAAAAAAACATTAAATAAAATATGTTCAATACTGTACCTGCATATATCGTATCAAAAAACAAAAAGGAACAGGAGCAAGAAGTTTATTGAATATAGATTTATTGAAATTGCATATTTTTTAAGAAAGAAGTAAAATAGCCTTTGTTTTAAGGCTTAAAGGTGGGGTAGGTAAGTTTGAGAAACCGGCTCGAGATACACTTGTTGTTATATTCCATGGAATGCTCTTAATATCCCGATAGCAATGAATATCTTAAGTGCTTTGACAAAAATCCATAAAAAAATATCATCTGTGGAAGCCGTAGTACTGTAAAAAGCACGACCAATCATCTGAGCCGGCCCGGCTAAAGTAACTGGATGGCCTACCTGCCTGTCAGCCTTCCATCTGTGCACAAACTTATCTCTTGCCCTCATTGGTCATGTGCGCGTTCGTGTGTGTTGGAGGAGGGACTCTGTAAGGAAGTGGCAGATTTTTTCCGGCTGTGTATTTTCAAATTCTAGCTACTCCAGCCGGTTTCTCCAAAATTACCTACCCTACCTTTAAGACAATTAATAAATAAAATAATCTAAAGATTTTAAAACTGTCCTGTATATCCTAGATGTGTGAGTGCGAGTGTGAGTACAGTGAAAACGTGAAAATCACAAAATGACAGCTCTGAGGTTACCACCCGAAAGTGATGACAGAAAGTTATGAGTGTCATATTTTTTTACCCGTCTTTAGTTCTCTGCTCTTTCACCGGTTTAAAAGTTAAATCCAAGGCATTTTGTGAACACCACAGACACACTGATTCACTGCCAGAATTCCTTGCCCCTTCACTTTGGCATGACTTTCCCCTCCTCCTCCTCTCCCCTTCATCCTTTCCTCCCTCCCATGTGCTCATCCCTCTCTCCTCTCCCATGGTTGTTTCCAGACAGACCCAAAGCCAATGTGCACCAGATGCCCCCCCCCCCCTCCCTCTCGCGGCCTGTCACTGCTCACTACTGTGTTCGATACAGACAGATGGAATTGCTATCAGTCCTGGCTCCTCTCTTTGCCTCAGCCTCCCGTCTCCCACACTCCAAACACTGTCTCTTTTGCCTTCCTCTTTCTTATCCCTCACCAAGTGAAAAATAAGGAGAACGAGGGACTGGAAAGAGAGAGAGACACACACACACACAATACTTTGCAGCCAACATATGGACTAAAGCCCAGGGTTTTCCTGAGCGACATTCTCAGTAATGTTCTGTCCTTGTAGAACATTGGGCTGCCTCCACTTTTATGAGATGTGGTTTTCCTGACTCCACACGGCTTCCAGGAGACCCAGATGGAACCGCTAACAACCCCCACCACCACCACGCAACCACACACACACACACACACACACACACACACACACA